GATATTGGTCTCCACCTATCATCGGATGGAGCACAAAGGCATCCGAGTTATCATAAAGTGGAGAGAGAATAAAAGCAATTTTGGAGAGGAGTCAGAACAGTTACTGCTCCTGTGGAATAATAAGTGAAATCCAGAAATTACTTTTTAAATGAGTAATGATGAATAAATAATATATATGACTTCTTCTGAATAATGAGCCCGACGCTGCTCCCTTGGGCAGCCGTCCCATGCTACAGCCACAACTTTTGCCTCAGCAGTCTTATCTCGTTGTCCAGATCCAACCTGTGACAGTCCAGCCCCAGATCCAGCTCAAACACGGCCACTGTCGCTCCACCAGAGCCCTGTGGCTCTTGGCTGGGCTGCACCTCCATCTAGGTCAACAGCAGCTGGTCTGTACATTGTGACAACTGATAACACAATGAGACCATTAGTGTTGTAGGCTCATAGCGCAGGCCCAGCCAGCTCAGGTCTACCTGTGCCAGCTCCAGGCCAGAGGGCTTGTCTCCTGGAGATTAATGATCCCTGGTGCTGCGCAGAGTAGGCCACTCCTTGAGTGTGAAATACACCTCATCTGCCTGGCTGGAGCTCTGATTTATTCCTGCCTGCATGCTTGCCCTCAATGTCTGCAGGGGGTTTGTCTTTGTTTTGCAGTCTGTGTGCGTACGTGTGCATGTGTGTGCTTTATTTGATTTCTCACTGTCTTTGCTTGATCCAAGCCAAGTGTTAATAAGTACAAAATTAAACTAATCTCTCCCACAATTATGTTAATGCTTTATTTTACTCGCTTGATCATGCGTGAGTACACATGCGTATCTGTTTACATCTGACACGAAAATCCAATAAGCAGGAAATAACTTTGTGTTCATTTGATCTGACGTATTTCTGCTCTTTTTTTTTCCTCTGTCGGTGCAGTATTATGAGCCAGGCACATCAAACTAAATGGCTTTATTCAAACACCTTTTAAAACTGACTTATTCTCTTTTACTGAAAATACTAAAATTCCCGCATGATTTAGCTTTAAACTTTGAGAAAGTGTCACCATCGGTCTCCCAGAGTCTCATCTTTTTGTGTCCTTTACCGTCTATCTACACAACAGTGATCCAAGCTACTTATTGCTTATATTGACACATAAGGAGAATATGGGGGATGTTTTACGTACATTGAACCTCTCTAGAATTATGCTATTGTGAAGACACAAGACAATTTTCTTTAGCAACCTGTGCAGAGAACGTTTGCAGATGCACTTAGGACAGACCTGAGTGGTTTGTTGGTGATTCTGGAAATTTGTCTATAGCCTCTTTTAGAGTTTGTACATACAGATCAAATGAAAAGAAAAAAACAGAATGCTTTGCCCTGAGGTGAAGGGCTCTGTTATGCTGTGGGGGGACATGGTTTGGGTCCACTTCTCCCCCCTTAGAGGAAGGGTCACTGCAAATCAATACAAGGTTGTTCTAAGTGAGCACCTTTATCCAACAATGAAACATATTTATCCTGATGGAAGAGGATGCTCCCATCAGGATAGAAATATTTCATTGCAGGATAAAGGTGTCTCTTCCAGGATGGAATTCATAAAACATAAGGCACGAGTAGTCAGTGGATGGTTTATTTATTATGGAAATAATGTGTATCATGGGCTGCAGGGTGGCGCAGTTGGTAGCACTGTTGCCTCGCAGCAAGAAGGTTGCCGGTTCGTGAGGGCACCGGAATCTTTCTGCGTGGAGTTTGCATGTTCTCCCCGTGCAGCGTGGGTTCTCTCCGGGTTCTCCGGCTTCCTCCCACACAGTCCAAAAACATGTTGAGGTTAATTGGTGATTCTAAATTGTCTGTAGGTGTGAATGTGAGTGTGCTTGGTTGTCTGTCTCTAAGTGTAGCCCTGTGATAGACTGGTGACCTGTCCAGGGTGTCCCCTGCCTTCACTCTAAGTCGGCTGGGATAGACTCCAGCCCCCCCGCGACCCTAGTGAGGATTAAGCGGTGTATAGAAAATGGATGGATGGATGGATGGATGGATGTGCATCATATATTATTGCCCTCACTGTGGCCAAAACTCAACCCACCTGAACACCCGGGGGGGGGATTCAGAAAGGACGTGTTGAGACAGTGCTCTGCACCACAATCACCAAAAAACAGATGAGGCGATATCTTTTTGAAGAATGGATTCCATCCCTCCAGTAGACAGAGACTTGGAGAATCAATGGCATTGCGCACTGAAGCTGTTCTGGCGACCCACAGGAGCCGAACACCTCACTGAGACACTTCATGTTGTTTTGTTCTTTAATTTGTTACCAGTCTGCACATAGTGCAGCTACGAGTAGAGGGAACTAAACTCTTCTTGCCCAACTTATCACCATCTCATGCATTTACACACACACACACACACACACACACACACACACACAGATCAAAATAATTTCCTCTACACAGTTACACAGCCACTGTCACTGGAGTGAAACTTTGTTTTTGTATTCTGTATAATTTTTATTAACATCTATGACTGTTTCCTAGTCCATGAACAATTTACCACCCGTCTGTGTATTAAAAGAAGACAAGTGGCACCTTGTCAGCCTAAAGGTTGAGGCACTGACCACATAACTGCGATGCCCACCATGTGTCTGCCAGTCAGGGGACCTTTTGCTGTCCGCCGTACATCCCAGCTCCTCAGTTTTCCCGTCTGCATCTCTACTACTGCGATCAAATGAAGGCAAAGATTCATAACAAAGGAAACAAACACATGAACCTGTTTGTTGTACGCAGCTCAAAGAAGCATAATTCCAGCTTAAGAGGCAAAGCTCGGCACATGGTGCTAGCAATCAAAAAAAAAAAAAGGATTTGCAGCTTTTACATCCCACGGTAACCCATTAGGAAAACAATCTCTAACAGCAGTCTTGTCTCCCAGAAATGACATTCTTGTACTACTAATATGTAGCAGTAAACATGTTTCAAAAAGATGTAGGTACATTTTTCAAGTCACAAAACAAACCCATAAGTTGTTCATGAAAGTAACTTGTTATTACCCACAATTCCATGCCATTGTGACAGTAATAATTATAGAGATTATGACAGTAATAAAAGAAAAGTAGTTTGAAAAACGCAAAAATAGCACATGGAGGATGCCGGGGTGGCTAAATGGGTCAAATAAATAAATAAATACATAAATATAAACATGACGACCAAGGACCACGGCTTGTTTCGTGTTTCAAACCAAAAACTAGTTCATTTTAACCATCATCTTAACTACAGATGTGTTATTGTAACCATGACAACCTGACCTTTCCCTAAACTGAGCAAAAGTTGTTTTGGCTCCTCAAACTAATCGAGTTGTTTTTGTTCCAAAAGCAAACCAAAGAAAGGCTGAAATAACAATGATGTTTTAGTGGAATGCTAATTTAGGAGAAATTCCTGTGTGTTGTCGTCAAATCGCAGCGACAAATGTTAATTAGAGCAAATAATCTGACAAGATGTGCTTTCCTCATGGCTAATAAAGCTGCAGTAAGCAATGTATTCCACAAGCTTTTTTATTTTTTATTTTATTCATTGATTCTTTTCTCTCGACAATGGTCAATAAATCAAGTGGTCTGATAAGAAAAAAAACAACAAAAATCTGTTATCTGTGGCCGTCACAGGCCTGTGAAATGCCTGTCTGTTCCTATCCTGCAAGGCTAGAGAATGAGGGAAATAAAAATTAGATGTGAACTGGGAGAAAGGGACCAGAGATAAGTCCTGCATTTTTTATTTATTTTTTTTTTACAAAGCTAACTTAATTATTGACAACAAAGGTCATAATAGACGCAACCGAAAAAAGCAGGTTTCCTATAACATACAGAATACCGAATGCCCTCTCTCCAAACGGCCGTAAAGCACAAGCTTGTCTCTCAGCTCTGACAGCGCAGGTAGTCTGAACGCCTCCCACATGGACCACTGGCACTAGCGATGCCTCCCCTCTCATCCTTTATACTCCCAGGCATGATGAGCAGGTGGAGACAGCTGCACTCAATTACCTGCTGCGAAGGGGAATGAGCAACACCTGAGGGAGGAACCAGAGCAGCCACAACAACAACACACTCTGCAGCACGTAACACCGTCCAGTCATTGCATCCCGTGCATATGACATGACTGGATGGGCTACCTGCCTATCTAACTATATAGTGCCTATAGAAATGACTCCCCCTGCTTCGAAGTTTTCCACTTAAATTGCTTTTCAACATTGAATTGTAGTCTTTTTTTTGGACAAGAATTAGAAAAAATAATAATAACAATAATTGCATTCGAGTAATGCCAGTTGATTAAAGCTTTAAGTTTTAAAATAAGCGATTGTATAACTATAAAGTGACTCACCTAATTCAACACACGATTAGTGAAACAGAGATTATCTGAGTGCAGTCAGTGTGTCTCAAGTGACTGTAGTATAAAGGTGCCTGTATCTGGGAGTCCAGTCACTGGTGAATCAGTCCACCTGGCTGTGACTGCACCATGAAGACAAAAGAACACGCCAAGCAGCTGAAAAACAGATTTAAAAGAAGATCAGGGGATGGATGCTAGAACATTTCCACGTTGGTGAATATCAGGTTCAGGTTCACCAGTCAAAGCTTAATGGTTGAGTCGAAAAGTAAAGCTACAGTTTAAAAAAAGCTCATATTAAATATTGACGAGAGCACGGTGGTGGAAGCATCATGATATGGAGATGTTCCTCAGCCACAATGCCTGGAAGGCTTTTAAAGGCAGAGGGGGAAATTAATCCAGAGAGAACTGGGACTTTGGGAGACTTCTTTTTTTCTTTTCCCACCAATGTAAAGCAAACAGCAAAAGCTACACAGTAATGGTTTAAAGACAACAGTGAATGTTCTGGAGTGGCCAAGTCAGATCCCAGATCTCAATCCAATTTAGAATTTGTGGCTGGACTTGAAAGAGCTATCCACTCAGTGCAACCTGATGGAGCTTGACGAGTTTTGCAAAGAAAGATGGGGCTAAAATTGCAGTGTACAGATTTGCAAATGATTAAAACCACAAAGGCACAATGCTGTAACTGCAGCCTAAGGTGCATCGACTAAATACTGACTGGAAGGAGGTGAATACTTATGCCGTCACTTTTTATTTATTAATTCCCAATACCTTGTATAAATCTGTTTCCACTTCAAGTCTCTTTTTGTAAATACTTCTCAAAAAAGATGAACTACATTGAGCACGGTTTATTGTTTAAAAGCAATAAAAGGAGGAAACCTCCTGGGTGGGGTTAAGCACAACACCTGCATGGACTGTGCCCATGCATTGTGCATCACTGAAGTCTTCCAGAAGGCTGGATGGACACTGTTGTGTATAAATATATTATATCATGTGTGAAGTATAGTCCTTAAGGTTTAAAATATAAAAGAAGTTACATATATGCACATAGTCATGAAATGTCTCCTTTTTCCTGATATGGTTTCACAGGACAAGCAACAGATGGAGGAAAAGAAGTCCATATAAGGATGCAACTACTCAGTGTGATGAAGATGGGCCCCCATCAATTGTTTTGTGACATGACCGTGCATCATGTGACTGAATAGTATAAGACAAGGGTCTGAGGGAAAGGTCTTAGTCTCACTCTGTCTGATGCCAGGGAGAGTTTGACCCAGAGCTCTGTAATGCAATATTCAATGTGCAATTAAATTGATTGATTGAGACCGAACTGAATCCTATCTCATCTTTAGAAACAAACACATGGAGATAGACAGTTTCTCCAACAGCACATGGCTAGAGCAAGTGAGGAAATAAGCACAAGAATGACAAAGTGCAGCCACATGTTAACATTTTACATTTCCACCTAAACCTGCAACACTGGATATAACGATCATGTTCATTTGTGTGTTTGTGTATCTTTAATTTGCTGTTTGTGGGCTCCATCCTCCTTCAGATTCATTAGGATAGCTTTACACACATATCTGTGTACACTCGCCTGTCTCTACTATCTCTACTAAGTGTTTTGAAAATGTGGTAAGGTCCTCTATTTGTTTGGAGTCCTGAAAGAAGAGGGTGTTTTGGGGGTTTTTATTTATTTATTTTTTTGGTTGTATGCTTTCAGAATCTTGCTTACTCTAGCTTTACCTATTATTTATTAACACAAAGCATGCAATCCCTTTATATCCAGATGACATTTTATTTTGAGTCCAGTATCACTCCTTCAATTCCTGAGGCTCTGCTATAAAAGTCATAGTTGTCATTAAGGGTCAGAGGTGAGTTGGTCAAGATGGATTTCCTCTTAACAAAGAAAGCAAATCTCAGGAGCGTGCAAACATGGACAGACAGTATTCAAACCTTCCTCACTTGCTGCTGCAGTGCATCACCTACTTCTAGAACCACCACACATGGTCTTGTTTGCATTTGTGCTCTCATTTCAATAATCTGTTTTTTTCCCTCTGGTTTGCATGTCACTGAGGTTAAGTTACCTCTTGCTGAGTCTAGCAACGAGGCATCGCATTTACTGCACAATGTTTTGTTTGTTTTTAAATAAACAGGTAAACAGCAAAGGTCATATAATCAAAAAAATTAAGTTTATAATAGAGTTTAACAAACCCCCAAGCTCTGTAGCCCTGCAGCTCTGATGGACACTTGGTACATTAAATACTTGCACAAACACGATACAGTACTTCACATTGCATCAAACGATGTTATCATTTTCAATGTGTTTCCCCCCCAAATTAGAGAAGGTATCAATAAAACTGGTTTAGCTTGGCTCAATCCTCACAACAGATCATTTAAAAATATCTTACAGTTTGTCCAGTGCCGTGCACTGAGGCTGACGGTGGGCCTCTGACTCTCTATACCTGCAAATCACTATCTGCTCTGTTTCACAGCGACATGCTTTAAAAAGTATATATCAAAGTCTGCTTTTATCTGTGCTAGATTTCTGTTCTGTGAGGCGCTAATGAGAAGGTCATGAAGCAGAGCAATTCAAGGGAGCTGGAATGTTTGGCAGAACTGTTGATCATCATTAAGAACCCAGTCCTAGTAGTACATGGTGGTCTGGCTGCGATATGCTACAATTCTGTGTTAAAAAAAAAACAACCCACTGGTTTATTTGAACTTCTTTAAACCAATCAAACCTCTCACTGGATGGGCTAAGCCAAGAGTGTGGCTTCAGTACGTCCTTAAAATACTGACAGTGGCGGCACATTTGGGAGACCAGCACTGTGATTGAAATGGATAATTCACTACAGAAAAGCAGTACGGCTACGAATCCTCAGCAAAACATTTTCACTTTGGTAGGTTGTTGTTGTTCCCCATTGTGGAAAAAGCAGTGATAGCAGAAGGAAGGACAAGGCTGACTGAAATGATTGGTGGCTTTTACCTGCATCCTACATCTGGTGAGCCAAACTAGAAGGAACCTAGTAAGACAACTCCATCAAAGTAATCAGAGACACAAACAAACACTCTGTTTTAATACTGGTAAACCTCAGTGACGCTTGTTGATCTTGACATTCAGCTAAATGTACTGGCTTATGACCCGGGCTTCTCTCTGGCTTGGAGGGAAGGACTTTTCCTCTGGATCTCTTGTCAACTTCACAACTGGAGATGTTGGCATATTTTGTTGGGTTCCACTGGGGTTAGTTGTATCCCACTGCCATTCAGCTTCTACACACTCCCTCCAGATACCGTCACGAAGAATCAAAAATATGCAGTATTCAAACATTACTCCTCGACAAGAACCTAAGTATCACCAGCAACATAGGGGAAGAGAATAAATGTGGTAGTTCTGGGTTTGTCCCTCTCGCTGACATCTTTATATTATGTCTACTAATGCATCAGCGGTTCAGTGGCTGGTTACTGCTGTAGCTACCTCCTTCATGTGATGTTTTATATACAAGAATATCAGATAAATTTAATTAAATCTTGCCTTGAAGTGTCCCTGAATCCTCTCCTTCTGCTGTTTTCCTGCCTCTCTTTAGGTTATGTCTGGCCGCACTGTACTGCTCTTAATTACCGGATCTGTAGGCTACATTGCATTCTCTCAGGAGAAGCTGGACCTCCTTTGTCATGGCTGCAGAAGATGATGATGGATCCTAAGTGGAAAAACAGGCTCCAGTCCATGCATTGAAAGCAATCCTGCAGCTGTAGGAATGCTCCCTCTGGCCAGGTTTGAACTGTTTTTATGGTCAGTTGGTGTTACTTAATAATTGGGCAGTAGGCTGGGTTTAGGACCAGTGACAGGTGATCACACTGTCCAAGGCTCTGTGTGCTTCACATAGTCCAGTGTGTCGTCCCCTCTGGTTGAACATTTTACATGTTGTTCAAACCTTGGGAGCACAATCTTCAGGCTGCAATGATTAAAGTCACCAGCCACCATGAAAGCCCCGTCTGGATTCTGCTGTTTGTTAATAGCTGCTAACATATGGCCAAGTGCTGTGCTAGCGTTAGCATCTGGTGGAATGTATGCAGCTGTACCAACAACAGCAGAAAAGTCCCCGGGCAGATAGGGGGGCCTCCATCTAACAGCCCAAAACTCTATAGATCAGGAGTGGAGTATCTGTCAATGATGGCAGTGTTTGTGTCCAGTTGTTGTCAGTATAAACACACAGTCCACCCCCTGCAGGTCTGAACTGAGTAAGAGACCTGACATTGGTGACGAAGAGACTGGGGAGCGGTAGCCTGCGGCGGAGTGAAGGTGCCAACCCGGCATCCAACTTTAACAAAGAAAAAAAGTGAAATTTTAATAGTAGCCCCAAAATGAAAAAGTCAGGAGAACACATCCATGTTATCAACTTTCTCTAAAACGCAATGTCAGAAAACTGGGTGTTATTGCTAATGGTGATCTTAACTTTGAGCACTGCATAACGTGACAGCTTTCTACTATTTTAAAGAACATTTCCAAACTAAACAGCCTCCTGCCTGATGACCTGGGCTGTGTCCGAAATCACTCCCTATGGCCTACATAGTGCACTATACAGGGTGCACGCCATTTTGTAGGGGTGTCCGAATGTTAAGTTGCAAATGTTACACCCTGTATAGTGCACTCAAAATATCCCACAATGCACTGTAAAAAGTAGTGTACAACCGATGGTCACTAACCGAGCAATATGGACCGTCATGCATTGCGCGAAAGGAAATGGAAATGGAGATGAACGAACGAAAAATTCCCGTTTGTTTTGTTAAATTTTATTCTACCCAGACAGTGAACGTCGCTAAAATTGCGGCGCTCGGTTGTGATTTGAACATAAAACACCACTTTATTTAAATTGCTTTTAGTTACTGGATCCTGAAGAAACGCTCTCTCATCTGGTATGTACAGCAAAATGACAATAAACTTGATTTAATTTGATTTCTTAGCTACGCAATAAACTGTTAATTTGATGTGTTTGTACGACGCTGTTGCAGCACAAATCGCGGCTGGCGAGCGACGTAATTAACAGCTCAATTAATTATTTAGTGTCTGAAATGATACTTTGCCGAGGTGCTCCCTATATAGGGATCACTATATAGGGAGCAGGGAGTGAGTGGGTGATTTCGGACACAGCTCTGGAGATATTCTAAAATTCACAACATTTTTTTTTTTTTTTTCCCTCCCAGGTGTTTGGTAGTTAGTGTGGTTGTGTATNTCGATGAAAGAAATACAACCGAGACAGAGTGATCTTACCCCCGATGATCATGAAGTGCAGAATGGTCTACCTATGCAAAGTTAAATTTAAGACAACCGCTGATGTAGAACAATAAATTTAGTAAAGCCTCACTGCATGAACATGTCATGCCCTGTATTTGTATGTTACAAACAGCACTGGTAGAGTGAAAGTGAGTATAGAGGTGGTAATAGAGCCAAAGAAGGCAATTCCAACCATGCACACAGTATTTCTGTGTTCTCAGCCAACAAACCTGTTGTGATGAATCGTTTCAATGCCATAAATAAAAGTAATTTACCCACAACTAATGACTGTCTAACAATCAACAACTTATTCTCGTTCTCAGCAGGAGTGTTAAGTTTTCTTCACTCTGTGTCCCCACTGTACTGTAAGTACAGTGTAACCTCCACCCGCCACCTCACCCTTTTGCCTCTGTGTGCTTTCTTTATCCTCCTCCACCTCCTCATGTGGCAGCACAGCTGCTCTCCATCACTTTTCCAGGCCTCGTCCAGTCAGTGTCTTGTTCTCTCTATTATTCACTAATCCACACTCCACTGTGCAGAGGCCACTGTACATTTTGATAAAAGCGCCTGCTGTTTGCAAATTGCTAATCAATAGATACATTTAGTCAAAAGGTCCTCAGTGTGAGTATTCTTCTGACTGGTTGTGTAGTCGTCCCACTTTGCTTTGTGAACAAACCAAACGAAGCCTTGTTCATAACGTACACAGAAAACCAAATTCAATAAACAAACTAAACAACACGTCATATGTAGTCGATGTAATTATACCTCGAATCGTTTTTTGTGCCACTTAAAGCCGTACAGCCAATTATTTGTGTACAAACTCGTTCAACAGCCTCATTGCGTTCAAGCTTTTACCTCCCAGGAAAACAGAGAACTTGGAAAGAACAAAATAGAGCCAAATTTGCTGTGACATAATGGCAAGAATCAATATGACTTTTCCTTCCTAAATGGAAGATAATGGTATCACAATGGAGGCGTGTGGAGCTTGTCTACTCAGCCAGCCCTGATTGATCTGTTACTGCAAGAGTCACTTTGGGACCCGCAAGGTGTCTGGACACATTAGTGTCACCGTGTGCGAAACAACACACACACACACACACACACACACACACACACACACATACCGGATTCACTGTGTGTCTTCAAAGAAACTTCATCGCTGGGTCTTCTTACATAGCCATACATCATCATTATGTGGTACCTGCATCGTCTTTCCTGCGTATTTCAGGGTTTAATTTCTTTATTTGCCTTTTGTCTACATTTACTTCAATTTGTGTGTGATTTCAAAAAACAGCCTGACGATAGTCTTTTTTAAATTTCTGCCGTCATTATTGCTTATTCTTAGCCTAAACGTAGTTTTGCATGAACAGCCTACAAACCCCAGGAATTTAAATAACAGTGTACTGCATATGCCCTTTATTTGACCACTTTACATGTGAGAGAATCTCTATCTCTAGCGTAGCTTGAGCAGCATTTTAAAATTTATAAGACATGTGCAATCAGTGGTGGACAAAATGTATCCAATTTCATTTCTTAACAGGAAAAGGGTCACTGGAGGGTCTGAACACTCCAGTAATTTATAAGATGTGGGGGTGGATGGGGAGTTGAGCATAACATCATAACATAATAAAGTTCTAATGCACAAACCTGTTTTCGGTTTTTAGAATTTTTTTTTGTCTTGGATTATTTTTGGGGCTAATTTGAAGAAGAAAAAAAACCATCAGTGGTGAAATGCCTATTAGGCAACTGCTGATGTCTTCGGGACATCAAAGAAATCTGATCAAGACTTCAAGGTGCAGAACTGACACCACGTCCCGCATCTGGTCAGGTTTTAGCCTTGATTACACTCCCTTGCGTACATGCACTCGGACAGCTGTGGATACCGCAAACGCATAGTTGTTGTTAGTATAATACTTCCTAGTCTTTGGTAGTCTGTTTGGAAGACCCCGTTCCATACAGCTGCAGTAGTTGTATTTGTGTTCCATGAATGTGAGCACATGTTGTAGGGTAGTCTTTGTGACACACAAATTTTGGCCAGCACATAAATGTCCAAGGGGATAATGTCTTCTCTTGCAGACCAGGGATGACAAAATTTATGTCATGTAGACTCTAACTGACACTTGAGTACTCGCGGATACAAAAACTATAATAATAGCCTTGTACAACAAAAGCTCTCCGATCAAGGCTACAGAAAGATTAGAATTTTCCATTATTGCAGTTGTCGTTAATGAGGTAAACACATTGTGTCTTCTGCTTTAAGTCACTTTTTCATCCATTGGCTATACATGATGCGCAACATTTTATTATTTTTGCTTTTAACATTATTCCTTGAATTGATGATGTTATTGTGGGAAACCCTACCCCTGTTCCCTATCTAGTAATTTTATGCTTCCCATCGCAGGGGTGAACTGGGGGGGAAACTGTTTAGAAAACCATGTTTAAAAGGGTCCGCCCAGTGGGAGGGGCTTGGCCTTTAAAACCAAGGGCTCTGGGCCCGATTGAAGTGTGGGAGGAGTTGGAGTTTGGAGTCGGAGTTGGAGGCAGTGACAGTGACAGTGTTGGTCTGAATTTTTTGTGAAGTTGGAGTTAAAGGAGAACTGGTATGTATATAGTCCTGTAAATTTGTAT